GGGGGGGGGGGGGGGGGGGGGGGGGGGGTAGAAAGACAGAGAGAAGAGAGAGGAAGAGAGAAGCTGAAGGTGGGATGGAAGAATCAGGGAGCCATATGGCGAGATTGGGGGGGTGGATGTGGAAGTGCGGGGGAGCCAATGTCAAAAAGAAGAAATGGGAGGACATCCGCCCAAGAAATAAATACTGTAACACTGATGTGTAACGGCTCACAACGGGCCCCCAAATGAGAACGATTTAGAGAAAAGCCAGTGCTCTCCATCTACTGGGGGGGGGCAGCAGCGAGCAGCACGTGCGCGTGACGGGGCAGGGCGGGTCTCCCTGGGGATGGGGGGCACATCGCCAGCCTCACTTACAGGCAGGATCAGCTTTCTGACAAACTCTTCGGCACAACTCTTCGCCGAGCTGATATGTGGTGGCTGACGGCCTCGCCGTCTTAGTGGGAGAGTCCCCACTAAGATATGGATACATTTTATACATGTTTGTTTGTTTGTTTGTGTGTGTGTGTGTGAGCCCTTACCTTATTGTGTCTTCAATCAGTCGATCTGAACTGTTAAAAAAAGGAAAAACAACAGATGAGAGAGAGAACAGTACACACTCACTGAACACAGACAACAAGAAGGGTATGGGTTCGAATCCCACAAGTGGAAGAGTGGTGCTCTCCAGTCAGTCGGGCTCTAATGTTATACAAAGACAGGCTGCAGCATTCAGCCTGCTAGGGAGAAAAACACGGATGGGGTGGTACTAAGGCAGTGATGACGTGGTTTAATCAGTTATGCGCAGGTTATCCGCCAGATGCAGAGGCTGGGCCGCGCCTGCGTTTGCTCAGCACTGACCCACATTCGCTCAGGTACTGTTCCACAAAGCTGCTCAATTACAGCAGATACGCAGGGCTCACGAGCTACACTCATCCGGATTACCTGACAGCAGGCATCTGTCAGCCATCAGATTCCGGTCTGGGGAATATCTGGGCTTTATAGACACATCAGGAAAAACAGCGAAACGAAAGGAGAGAGACGTGCGACTGTACAAACCCACTTTTACAACATCGCTACAAAGTATCAAAGTAAAAAAACATCCGTGTGAACACCATCAGTCCCCTGGGATCCCGAAGAAGAGGAGAGACCGCAGGGAGCACAGGCATCAGAACACACTGGAGGTTGCAACAAAAGTGATCCATGTCCCTTCCCCCCCAAGGATTTACACAGCTGCCTTTAGGACCAGCATCCTGACAAAGTGCATCACATGCATCCTTGCCGGAACATTCCGCCGTCTATTAAAAACTGCGAAAGGAGCGGTGCGCCGTCTCGACTGCGCCATTTGCTCATGAATTATTAACGCTGACGAGACTTTGGCATGATTTACAGAAGCCCATCACAGCGTGGGGCTTAGAGGGACACACTTTGCGCTGACGAGGACGTCCCCACTTCCGAGTGTGGCTCTAATCTGTCTGCAGCGGGTTCAGCTTCTGCCCAGATCCCTGAGCGAGCAGGCAGCAAGTAACATGATCGGTCCGTAGGACGTTTCCTGCTGTGGTGCGTTCTGGGAGTTTCAGCTCTGCCGCGGAGATGTCGGGGAGACCGCCGTCTGTCTGGGCTTGGCCTGTGCAGGCCAGCGAGGACTATACCGTAAGGCAGGAATATTCAATTATGAGCCTGGAAGATATCCAGCTCTCATTATACCATAAAGATTTCAGAGAGGAAGTTAAATAGATTGAGCCGAAACAGCCTGGGGACTTGGGCTGGTTCAGAGCTGGGCTAGAAGAATTAGATGGCTATCCAGGGCGGTAATTAAACACGATACGAGGTGTGCAGGTGCGTGACCATGACGCTGCGCCCCCAAGAGGGCAGGCCGGCTCTCTCCAGCGAGAAGGGGACCAGCGCCACAGGACCCCAAGTACCCGAGTGCTCCGGGGTGAAGAGGGCTGCACTGGGAGGGGTAGAGATTTCTACTGCAGTCCCTGGAGCCCAAAATCACCACATCATAAACAAGCACTACTCTGTCCAATCAAATCAATACCGGTAAGGCATCGTGGGGGGCTGGACGGGGCAAATCAGCTGGAGCTGTAGCCCCCTGAGGGAAAGATGACCACGTGTGACAAGACAGAAACGAGAACCCACCGCTCCCTCCCCCCCCCCCACCCAAAACACCACGACTCCTAAATCGACACTGGCTTGGACATCAGGAGGCCCGGAGTGTGACAGAGGGGTCCCGCGTTTTTGGGTTTCGTTTTTCTTTGTGGGACGTGGCAGAAGGTAGGTGGGTCTTCGGCAGCACAAACAAAACAGGAGTGTGATTATAAGAGCCGTCTGCAGGAAAAGACCCCGTGACCCACTCCCCAGAGTCTGGGATGCAGAGGCCCTAATTGCTCCACATGGGAGAACATTAAGAGAGAATCACACTTCTAGACCAGCCCTCCAATTTTCTTCATAAACTAAACTATGATAAATGTGGGGATTCCCAGGCCCTGCTGGTTCCAACTGGTCCCGAGGGGAGGGCAACGGTGACCCCCCCCCTCCCAGCACTGCAACCTGCATACCTGCCTGGCCCCAGCCTGCGCTGTGGGGTGGGTGCGAGGGCAGCGTGTTCCCACAGCTGGGTGGGTCTGGTGAGCAGCACCATTAAGGAGGAGAGGAGGGCAAGGGAGGGGAGAGCACAGAACCGGCCGGTTTGCGGAACACGCCCACTGAGAACATTTGCTTTGCGCTGGACATTCTTCCCTTTAGCTGTGAGCTGACACTGCAAAAGCGATGATGATTGCTCTTCAAAGAAGCCATTTTTAAAACCGAGTGCAACGTTACGTGGCAAAAATCATCAGAGAGAACTTTCTAAAGGGCTGACAAAAGGTATTTGTTTCTTCAACGAAGGTACAGATTCGTAATCTGAAGTTTTCCGTTGTAGGGCAACGCAGAATTGCTTTGAACTGCTCCCCATCTATATAACTCGGGACAAATTGTGAGGTGCTTAAGATAAAACTGTCAAATGATCCACTTTGAGTGCTTTGGGTGTGGAGAGACACCTAGGGAACCGAACTGGGGGTTCGTTACCTTTGAAAATCAGTGGAAACCCCACCAATTAGTACGAATCCAGACAGAACCAGTATCAAAAGTGATAAACAGGGTGGGGTTTTTCACCCGAGTCAATTACAAAGAAGTGCACAGGCTCGTTTACGGGAAAGTGCACTAATTAGCGTTTTCCAGCTCGGTGGTTCTGCTGGGTATTTGACGGGGGCACTTTTAGAGTTGAGCTTGTCTGCCCATGCAGGGTTCAACCTATAAAGATGATGTAATGATTTCTTTGGGTCAGTCTCAATGATGGAGCTCCCCCTAGCCTGACAATGGTCACATTACCAGCAGCACAGCACAGCAAACACCAGCAAAGCAAACATACTCACGGGCATGAATTACCGTAATAAACTACACACTAGGGCTGCACGATATTGGGGGAAAAAAATCACGTTGCAATATTTATTCTTTCGGCGATATATATTGCGATATTAGGATTTTAAAAAATCTAATTAGTTCAATAGCTGTATTGGTATAATTAATCATTCTAGAAAGATCGAGCTGATTTTGCCCAAATGTAATGGTAATGATAACTTAATTAGTACTAAACAGAGCATGAGCATTAAACTAAGGAAGCTTATCGCATATGGGAGCTAACATGAGTGAAATGGTTAGCGCTGGGATCGAGAATGTTTGTGATTGGTGGTTCGTTCTGTGATCGACATGTTTGTTAGCTGCGTGTGCAAAGCTGTGTGTCAGTCTGGTATCCAAAAACCTTTAAATTGACCTAAATTATATTAGATAGACTTTTGTGGATTGTTTGAGAATAAGAAGTGTGACATTTGTTAGTTTAGCAAAAACACCAAAAGTGTTGTCCACGCAGCTTAATTTAATTTGCGTTACTTGACATCGCACGTCCTGCGATGTGACTATCGCAGGTGCGTACATCGCGATGACGATGCCAAAACGGTATATCGTGCAGCCCTACTACACACAAGAGACAAATATATAACTCTACACGAGAGAGAGCAGTTTGCATCTTCTCCCAATGACGTGTGGGTGGCCTGCAGTGCAAAGACGTGCAGTCAGGCAAACGAGCATCTCAACATGGGCCAGATACTACCACCCAGACTCCTACCCACGCTACTCCAAAAAAAAAAAAAAAAAAGATTTTGTAATTCAAACAATTCATTTGCATAATCCGATATCGATGAATAACATCCTGAAATGGCCTTTTCCAGTCTCGCATGGTCAGCTTAGTGCAACAAGATCTAGCAAATAAAAACAAACATGGCAAGACCTGCTCCACCGAAGGTACCATCAAACCAAAGGGAGATGTATGGACGTGTTTCAGTTCTCAGAAATACGATTTGGGAAATCAGCGGCGATACCCAGCCCTACTGTCAACCGCTGACCTCCTCAGACTCCAGGTCCTCGCATTACCACCACCGCTGCTGCTTTGAGGAGCATCAGCATCTCATCGGAATACCAGAAGAAGCCCCCCCCCCCCCAACCCCACCTCACCCCCACCTAGCTGTTCTGCGTGGGAGAGGTTCACGCTCCAGCTGGGCAGAGGGCAGGCCGCCCCCACCCTGCTGTACTCCATCTGCCCGTTCCACCTCACCTCCATCCCAGGTGCTAATTAGCTGCAGCTTGCGGTCAACAGTCAGTATTCAGTCAAAGCGGGTGAAAATTTGCAGCCAGCGGGAGGGCGCCCAGCGCCCCCTGCATTTTAGGTAATGAGGCCTCATGCTGTGATGGAGAGGACAGCACTTACTTCCTGTCATGTGACTTCCACTGCACTGCCTGGTTTTCTGCACGATAAGGTGAAACTTTCTTATTCCAGAGGGGCAGAGAGAACCACATGAGCCGCGAATGGGTACAGGCCACAGAAAAGTGCATACATCCAAAGCACTCATTTCCTGCACTATTAAATCCTGAAATCCCAGAAGAGGCCGTCTCAGGGCCTAGGCTGGTGGGTTAGGTGTCAGAGCTCCATGAGGCTCTTAATTGACCATAATAGCAAAAAGAAAATGCAGACGCTTACTGCCCTGTGAGTCACATTGCTGATTCCTCCAACAAAAGACTCAGACTGGTCTGTGAGAACTGGAAGAGTTACAGCTGGGTGAACGTTATGAGTTCAAACCCACTGACAGGCCTCCGGGCCTAAGCTGCAGACAGGCCTCAGGAAGGCCTCCAGACCTGAGCCTCAGACAGGCCTCCGGACCTGAACCGCAGACGGGCCTCAAAAGGCCTCATGACCTAAGCTGCAGACAGGCCTCCAGACCCAATCTGCAGTCAGGCCTCCGGACTCCAGGCCACTGAACTTCTGCAGTCAGTGCTTGTATTGCTTATTCAGTACAATGTTGTGAGGAACCTGGAGCTGCTCTCAGACAGCATAGCACTTCATGAAAACCAGTGTAACCCCAGCAACCACGGTAACCAAGCACAAAAAAACCCTTGGTCTCCCTGTAAGCCATGGGGCATTGTTGGCTTCACGCAGCGCCGACTGAAATACAGAGAGGTTCTGTCAACAGAGTGAGCTCTGAAGGGGCCACAAAGTTGGACCGCGGGGGGGTCAGCAGTGGGGGACGCTGTATTTCAGACAGCGATGCAGTCAGACGAGGCCCAGAAACTGCTCTGAGATCAGCGGAAAGGCACGGTTACGGGAAGCAGCAATGAACGACCACAGCCGTGGGAGCAGTTCCAGTAACAGTCTAATGGACTGCCCCGCCTGGGTCTGATTCATTCACCGTCAGCCCTCCTCTGTAAGCAAGGTGTCACACGGCCAGACATCCGCCACACACAGCTGCTTGCAGACAACACGCTCATAGTCCAAATTCAGCAGTGTCCCCTCCCCCGCTGCCCAGGCCCACATCCAGGACGTGGGCTTTCATCCCACAGGCCCCCACCCCCCTTTCAGGTGGAGAACACTAAAGCTACCTATGGAGAAAGAGGGAGAGCGGCAGAGCGAGAGCGGCAGAGCGAGAGCGCAGCGAGCTGAAGGACGGCATAGTTCCCATATGTCTTTCAACACCAGCATTCACTCCTTCGAATATCACATTACACCACTAAAGAACAGAGTTCTCACAAGTCATTTCCTCATAAAATCCATCAGCACTGAAGCCACAAATCTAAAATGACATATACCACAGGCTCTAATGTCTCCAAGGAATACAGACGCATCCGTAACCCTGATAGGAACCTCCGCCTGGTACAGAGCTCCAGACTGTGATCAAAATGAGTGTGAGAACCAAAGAGTGGTGCTGAGTCGGGTTGGACGATGAGATGGCTACCTAAACGGCAAATGACACTATCTATATTGTAACAGTGCCATAGCGGTTAGGGTTGGGTCATCTTGTTAAGGTTTTATATAGTTTTTTGCATTTTTAAAATGATTATTCATAAATCTTAACTATTAATCTATTACTATTTTTGCACACTTGAGCCCATTGACAGCCCATCCTCCACTACAAACCCAATCTTTCCTTATTTTTTCTTTGTACAACCTGCCCTGAGTCCCAGATCACACACTCGTCATAGTGATGTAGTAATGGTGTCAACACACTTGGCCTATAACGTGTACTGTTGTTTTTTCCTAAATAAAGGTCTGATCTGGAACAACGTCCTTCTATTTCGATTTATATTAACATTGTATGCCTTTTACAGCTATTATTAACTAATCAGAATGATGTAATTAATTATTTGAAGTCACTGAAGGTAGCTAGCTTAAACTAGGGCCGTTTAAATGCAATGCAGAAAATTAAGATTATAACATCCAGATGTGATAATCAACATTGATTATATTTTTAACATTAAACATTTACAGTTAAATATGCAGACCAAGAAATGGCAAAAAAAGGTTAATAATATAATGATTAGGAAATATATGAGAGAGAGAATGGGAGAGGTTGCTCTGTAGCTAAGTTTTAATCCTCACTTTTACAATACAAATAAAGACTGGCCCGCTCATTTGAGGAAGGTGCAAATCAGGTAGATGTAAACATTTTCGTGTGAGCGCCTAGCAGCACCTCTCAGCATCGCCCATCAGCCCTGCCCCAGTCCCATACAGACGCAAGTGATGATTACAGTGCAGGTCCATAGAGGGAGAGAATGAGCCAGCGAAACAGAAATACCACTTTCAACCATAACACCATGCTGTACCGAAAAAAAGGGATGTGACCAAATCATGTGCTGGTGAGACAAACTGAGAAAGTTTGCAGGAAAATTAGTCTGGAGTCTCCCTTCATCACGCAGGCCTGGGACGCAGTACTAATACCATCAGGGAGGCTGTTAGACTTTTCCGGGGCGCTGCAGGGACCAGTCATTTTCATTTTATTATTTTAATGGGACTTTCAGCAGTAATGAGCTCAAGTTCGGCCGCAACGCGACAGACACCCCCTCTGCACTCACCACAGCTAATGTATTAATCGACAACCTCGATGGCATGACGCTCGGTTCCTGTTTATGCTGGCTGGGTCATTAGCTAATTACAGGGAGCAGCCCCAACACAGACTACTAGGTAGGAAAGAAGAGTCATTGGAGCCTGACGGCAAGACCCTCGCCGTCCAATCGGGGACATCGGGCCCTAATTGGCCGACCGTGGGTCTGATGAGCCACTCCCAAAGCCAGACAATACTGTAGATGTCTTAATGCGCCCTCAGTACTACACAGTGGTCAGGACAACCATCACTAAGGAACTTGGACACGGGGCCAATGACAGCTTACAGATTAATTCTTTTCTGTGAGGACTGGACATAAGGTGCCAGAAACCTGCACAGCCTAGCTGATAGCCCTGCACAGCCTAGCTGATAGCCCTGCACGTACGTGCGTGCGTGTGCGTGTGTGTGTGTGTGATTACAGACATCCCAAGCTACTTACGTCTGACCTTTAGGATTCATAATGCTGCTGCAATTTTAATTAAGAAAAATTATGGCGCTTAAAAAAATGAAAAATAAATCAAAGATTTATGAATGCTTTCCCCTAAATTCAATTTCTAAATGAAAATAATTAAGCATTAATTACCCTTTACTTTAAATGAACCCTTAAAAATGCTTTTGCAGAGAGTGTTAAATCTCCTCAGCCGCTCTTCTGAAATATGGACAGCCAGGTAAGACACAGACCATTAAGTCACTGTGATTTACAGAGCAAACACTTACTTCCCACATCCTATAAAAACATGACAGGCCACCGGAGGCTAATCATTTCTGGGTTTTTCACCCAGCGCCCAGTTACAGCAGAATGTGTCTGGTGAGGTGCTGCTTGCTTGCTATCGTCCCAGGAGAGGCTGAGGCTGAGTGCGTGTGCCCAAAGGGGGAGGACGCACTGACCTCCTCAGGTGCTCGTGCTCCTTCAGGAACAGCTCCGTTCGCCGGTTGTTCACCCCCGTGCCGCTCTTGAAGGTCCTGTTCCAAGAGCAGAGAGGAGGCACCTTTAAAAGCACAGTCTTGTGTATGTAACTGTGCTAAGCCATGAACACAGAGGCACCTCATACTCACCTGTTTAACACCGACAGACATCCTGTACACTTACCACTAAAGTTTATTTTCATATCCACAAAAAAATACAGTCCTGTGAGTCACAGATAGCTTAACGAGAAAGGTGTACGTAAGATCTACACAGGTACAGACCTCTAATTTTAAAGAGAAGTATTTTTGTGGCCCAGAATGTCCAGACACCTCCCTGCTCTGGATGCCTGTGCTTCTGCATCAAGCATGGGGTGTAAAGCAAAGGCAGGCAGGAGGCATTTAGTGTGAATATGGGGGGAGGGAATCAAAATCCAGTGTTAAATCAGGAAACGAGGCTGCAGCCACATCTCTGTGCTCCGTAAACTGGGTAACATGCATCACCTGTTGGGGAGGGGGCAGGACTCCAACACAGAAGGGGGAAGGTGGGGCGGCACTTAACCAGGGCCCCAGGATGATGGCAGCCTGAGACGTTTATGCCTCCATTGTCCTGCAGCAAGCAGCCCATCAGCCTTAACAGAAGCCGCCAAAACGGAAACACGGAGAGCCGACACAGGCAGCAAGGTGCTACTCGGATGACGCCTGCAGCTCTCAGAGTGAAACTGGAGCTCCCAGAACACACTGCAAAATGGCCCTGTTAGACATCTCTGTAAACCATATTAGTTGACTAAGCATTCTAGCTTGTTGGACAAGGCATAGACTGAGGCAGGAGTGGCACCTAGTGGCCAAGGTGGGAAACTACTCTCAGAGAAATAAGATTTAGGTATGAGTATTACATTATTGAAATAAACATATTCATAGAACATACAAGCAATTAATTCTCTTTGTGCCACAAATCTGCAGTTTTAGTTTCAAATCCCATTCCAGAGAGCGAGTGTCATCCAGAAACATTCCGCAGGACACTATTGTACTTGAACAAAAATACCAGGCTGTCAATCTGAGACTTTGTCCTTAATACCTTAGAGCAGAATTACGGCCCCAAAACATAAGGGCTGCCTAGTGTAAACCTCTAAACTACACAAACCCAGATAATCTGCCTGAAATGGAGGGGGGCTAGGGAGTCACGCTTCAGGCAAGCTACACTCAACCACCACAAGAGGGCGCCAGCATAAACAGCAGTAGCCGGCTGAAACTCGACTTTGGCCATCGTCCTGTTTGAGAGCCGGCACTACCTTAGGTACCCAGCCATTCTTCCTGGCCGCATCTTACTGCCAGGGGGCCAGCAGTGTCTCACAGCTGCCTGAGTGACACGTACACATGGGGTAGATTTTACTCAGAGCTGCCATTACACACACAGCATGGCAGAAAGCAGCAGGGTCACAACACTGAGCCCAAAAAAGCTGAGGTGTACTACCTAAAAAAAACATGTGGTAAGAAGCAGGGCGGCGCAGGACCACCACACTCATCACAATCAATCATGCTGACATTCTGATGAGATGATAAACTAATTTTCTATGGTCACTTAGTAATACAGCTTTCTGGGTTTAAACAATGAGGTTCAAGGGCTTGGCCATGTGTCATTTTAAATCTCTACTTTCATGATTTTAAGAGAACTGCACTTATACTCACAGCATTAAAAGCAGCAAATTCAATGACCAGTTAGAGACCTCAGGCCCAAACCTCCCTTACAGGCGACCAACTTCACCCCCCCCACTAGATCCCCCTGAAGGGTCATGTGGTACAGCAAAGCGCAGGGAGAGCTCTGATACGGGTCATGTGGTACAGCAAAGCGCAGGGAGAGCTCTGATATGGGTCATGTGGTACAGCAAAGTGCAAACGCTAAGCAAAGCGTCCACTTAAGAAAAGCTCATAATCACGGAGGGAGCTGGAGGAAGCACAAGATCAATATACCATTAAAAACTTCCTGGATGAAAGAGTCTCATGTTTCACCTTCCACGGCATCCCTCACTTCCCACACTCCTCTGAGTGCGAGGACGGGAGGCCAGTCATAGCAACGGGTGCGACGGCCGGCGTCGGCAGCCGGGAAGGACACTCACTCGATATCCTTCCTGACAGATCCCAGTAGGTCCTCCCTTTCTCTGATGGTCAGAAAGTTGGCTTTGGTTTTGTGGAACTCGTGTGTGTAATCCTGAAAACAAAACACGGCAGACAGAGCATGAGTACCCACAAAGACGAGTCATTATGAAGACTCATTCAAAAAAATACCCAGTGACATAACACAAAATGAGGATAAATCTTTCTCTAGGGAAGATGTTTATTAAAAACTTATTCGAAAGGTTCTAAGTTAATTCAGAAATGCCTAAGAAGGGCTGCAAATATCTGGCCACGTAACAGCAAGCAAACAAACTTTCAGTCAAAATCATCAATACGTGACAAAACATAAAAATGAAGTTTGCACTTATAGGGGCTTTAATTATGACATATCCACCGGCAGCATTCTTTCAGATATATGGGTGATTCCTGTTTTGGGCCACATATTCATGTCCTGAATATGTGTTTAACTGGCTCTAATTCTTTTATAAAATTAGACTAATCTTTATAACAAACCTATTTTATTATGTGTTTAGGTGTTTTCTATTGCTCTAACAAAGATAAATTATTATTATTATCTTTTTACATCTGTTTAAAGCACCATTTCTCTGGAAAATGCGCTCATTTTAGCATGTCCCAAATGCAATGTATTCAACTTCCTCAGTAAATATAAACTATAAAATTATAAAAACCAAAACTTATTCTTTATTATTTTGATAGACTAGGGTATACTACCTTTAGAGAAAGAAACAAATCTGGTGAAACTTATTTTGTTTTCTGTAATTATATAATATATTATATGTCCCTGCATTAGTTTTCCACCCTGTGAGCCTCTAGTTTCTTGGCTCCCTAAAAAGATTACAAATCCATACAGCCATTTCCACGAAGTGACATCATTTGTTTTTGGGAGGAAATTCAACTGGAAGACTAAGGTAAGCTTTAACTGTCAGTCTCTCCTGTATTTTTCTCAATTTTATATTACACACCGGTTTGAGGCACCCTTAAAGTTCCACCCTGTATATTAAATATTTATTGGAAAAAATATTTTTAAAAACAAGTTAAAAATAGCTATTTAAATGCTGATCAGCTGTAGAGTGTGTGTTAGCTAAATATTGCTCACTCAAAGAGCTAGAGCTACATTAGCTAGAAATATTCCACCCTGTTAGGTTCCACCCTGTTAGGTTCCACCCTGTTAGGTTCCACCCTGTTAGGTTCCACCCTGTTAGGTTCCACCCTGTTAGGTTCCACCCTGTTAGGCTATGTATGGGATATGCAGCCTACTGAGTAGAAATTGTACAAGAATATTTATTATTTTCATTAAAATGACTTGTAGATTTATTATTTGAGTGTATTTCTTAATTATTTATGTTACTACAGTGGTATTATTATTATTAGTATTATTAGTTGTAGTAGTAGTATTGTTGTTGTGAATCTGAATCTACTTCTTAAGAGGCCTACTCGGTTCCACCCTGTTATATTGTATTACACCCTGTTAAGCAATGATTTAAAAAAATATTCTAATTACAACAGTGTTTGGTATATATGTATATTGTTTTGTTAAATGATGTACATATAATGCATCTACATATACTTTTATTTCTAATTAATAAAATTCCTCATACAAGACAACAAAATGGGGACAAAAAAATGCACAGATTCCATTATTCTGACATTGTACTCTTCATAAAATTTAAACTGTTAATGCTACAAGAATGAAACTTTTATCATAGCAAAAGGGACACATTGTATCCCAGAAAAGTTCAGTATTGTTTGACTTGTACATTATTTAAACTCTGTGATTACCATGTACATGTCCCTAACAGGGTGGAAAACATCTGGAGAAATATATACAAAAAACATCCCATAATTATAATACTTTCAACCCCTGCACTTGGCAAACATGCATTCCTCATACCTAAGTATGGTATAGTCCTGACAAAATGTTTAAACCATAAAATACAATCATTTCAATTTTCAGAAAACAGACAGCCAGATATGTGGTCCAAAACGGGAATCACCCATATACCTCTTTCTGTTTAGAGCACATTAAGTCATGATTAATTCTACCTGAATGCATACATCATTGTTAGTCAGTTTATTCACCAATTTAAACATATTAGCGTAGGGTGACACAATTCTGCGAAATTTCCATTAATTCCCATACATTCCAGGTAGTTTCCATGGAAAGTTTCCAATTTTATTTATAAAATATTTCCTAAATTCCACAGCTTAACTTCCCATGGAATGGAAAGTTTCTGGAAATTTATCGCCCCTTTGCAACCCTATGTTAGTGATGGTTTAACAGACGCAGCCCCACTGCCCAATTGGTAATGATGTTCCCACACGCTGTCCACCCTCGTGCTGAGAGAGCATGTGTGGGGTTCCCATTAATCATGAGATCAGCATGCCACTGAAGTAGCTCCCACAGACACACACACACTGTCAGTGAAGAACGGTGGAAGGAGACGGATAACAAGCAGTCAGATGAAGGGAGCATCATGGAGATAAACAAGGACAGCAGTGAGGTGACAGTTCGGAGGGCTCACCTGCAGAATATCTCTGTGTCTCTGCAGGGTGTGCATGAGAGCTGCATTCTGCGATGTCACCCCAGACGTGCTGGCGTACTCTGCCATCTTGTCATTCACCCCTGTGAGCTGAGGAGGATACAGGAATACCCTGAGCTCTCCTGCCTGGGGCCAGCACTGTAGTCACCATCAGCACTGGGGTTACCTTGGCGAGGAGCTGCTCGATCTCTACAGCCATGGTCTCAAACATCCTGTCCTGGGTGGAGTTATTGAGAAGGGGTGTGGTGTCTGAACTGTCCAGAAAATGGGGGGTTAGTCTAAGACCTTTGTTGAAATTCAGACCTGACAACGTCATCCAAACAAGATCCTTGGAGAGGCACGAGCCATCTATCAACCATCTGCAGGGAGCAGGATGAGGAGGTCACAACCCTTCCCGGACTTCCCTTACTGACAGGGAGCGGGGGGGGGTGTCTGTTACCTGTCTCCGCGGCGAGCATCCCGCGAGCTGCTGTAACTGGTGCACAGTTTGCTGAATGAGATCAGCTTCAGGTCAAGCTCGTTTTCCAGCTGTCTCGCCTGCTTGCGTAAATCTGAAACCCAAAACCAGCGAAATTAATGTCTGGTCCAGCCACAGCGGCGCGGCAAGGGAAGCCGAAAGCAGCGCTGTCACGGTGCTCTCTCACGGGGAGAAAGGGTCTTGAATGAGGGCATCGACATTAAAGACCCCGAGCAAGAAATGTTTCTATGTTATTATTAAAGACAATTAAGGGGAAGCCTGTGACATACACAAAAAGAAAAAGTTTAAAGCAGCCAATGGAGCATGATAGTTTCATAGTCTAGACGGCAGCTTCGGGTTTTCAAGCTTAAGACCAAAGCAGCGAAGCGCCGGTGGCAAATAAACGGATAAACCAACACAACAGGTAACCCGGCCGGGCAGGTCGGGGCGCCGGAGTAGGAGCTTTGAACCACCTCAGGGCCGAGCGGCGTTTTTGCGGGGTATGAGCTCGCCTCAGCGCCATCCAAGTGGCTCGCTTTCGGCGGTTTAGCAGAATCCCCAGCATCGGAGCTCACCTTCCCAGTAATTGCTGTTCCCTCCCGCCATCTTTGTTGTCCAACGTCACCAGAGGCAGTGAAGAGGAAACGGCCAGTCGTCACATCCGCCCGTCACAAGCACACCCGAGCGCAAAGGACGGCGCGAAGACGTCAGCGCCGCTGTGTGGTCCATAGATGGTGTGGTCCGCAAGGCAAAGAAGACATGGATTACTTTACTGTATAAAGCCACGTAGATATCTGGTTCATTTCTAAGAAATGCTTTGGTGTCCCAGCTTGTTTGTTAAAACGTAAAATAATTGAGTTCTTGTTCAAGAATAGCCTACATCAAGAATTTGTAGAAAAAAAAGGACTGCAAACTGCACCAAAGCAGAATACAAGTGTTGGCTATATACTCATATCTTTAAGATCTGAGAAGAAACCTATCAGTATCTGCTGTTTTATCTAACACAGTATACTTTGAATCAACATGGTAACTTAATTTGCCTCAATGAATGGCTGGGCACGAAAAGAAATTTACGTCTCATGAGAGCAAAAACAGCATTACAGTATTTCACGCGGTGATGTCCGCGGCGAATTCTGACATTTTGATCAAAATGCAATTTTTATATGTAACATGTTTTTCCTCAAAACTGAACATTTTGCGACGGACACGTTTGTCCTTGTAGGGACAGGCTGACGATTCATGGTGCCGGCGGATTGATCAGCGATTTTCCCATTAACATTTTTTTCGCATCCAAACACAACGCACGAACATGAAAGGGTAGTAAAACAATGGAAATACAGACGCTCCTCTACGTACAAACTTTCAACTTACAAACTTTCGTGTCTGTGTGTGTGCGCGGGTTTTCCTATCCTTATGGGGACACAATGTCCACATAACGTGATAAATATCCGTTTTTCCCCTTATGGGGACCGGTTTCCTGGGAAAACTCTATTTTATATAAATCGGTGACTGCTATGAAAAAACTAAAAATGCAAAAACTCTTGTATTTTGTTTGGTTACTTATGATTATGTTTAGGGTAGGGTAGGGGTTAAGGTTGTCATAGTTAGCGTTAGCATTTTTTTAGCACTTTTCTAAAAGAGTCCACTTTCGTGTTAGTGGTTATATATTTTATTTTCCGTACATTAAGGTTAAGCTAAATAATGCTCAGCTTTTTTGTTCAAGTGATGCCCTGTATCAGGCTGTCCCTCCAAACTGGACGGCAGAGTGAGGAGGAGACTGGTCAGAGAGGCTGCCGAGAGGCCAGTGGCAACTCTGACGGAGTTGCTGGACTTTATGGCACAGAGCTTTGCTTTTAATAACACTTTTTAATCGTTTTGGAACTGAGGATACAAACATCAGTCCAGGGTTGTCATTGTCAGATTTTCTTCACGATGCGGCATACATTTTCAACAGGAGATAGATCTGGATTGGCAGCAGGCCTGTCAGGAACACGCACCTTGTGTCGATGAAGCCATGCTGTTGTAGCCTTGGCAGAATGTGGTCTGGCATTATCTTGCTGAAAGAAACACGGATGTCCTGCAAAGAGACGTCACCTTGATGGCAACGTATGTCTCTCTAAAATCCTCTTAAACGTCTCTGAGTCAATGGTACCTTCACATAAATGCAACTCACCCATGCCGTGGGCACTGATGCACTCCCATACCATCACAGATGCTGGGTTTTGCACCTTTCATTGATTGCAATCCGGATGGTCAGTTTCATCTTTGGCACAGAGAACTTGACGCCCGCTTAAATGTGGACTCATCTGACCACAGCAGATGGTTCCACAGTCTTTTGGTCCATCTGAGATGAACTCAGACCCAGAGAATTTGTCTGTGTTTCTGCATTGAGTTAATGTATGGCTTGAAGTAGATGTATGGCTTGGATTTCTGAATGCAGCAACAGACTGTGTTAGGTGACAATGGTTTTCTGAAGTACTTCTGAGCCCAGTTGGTTGTGTTTCTCACAGTAGCATGACTGCTCCTTAGGCAGCGCTGCCTGAGGACTGGAAGATCATGTGCATTTAACAGTGGTTTCCAACCTTGCCCTTTACGCATTGAGATGTCTGCATTCTCTGAATGTTTTCACAGTATTACGTATTGAAGGTGTTGCAAGACCTAAATTCTCTGCAGTCTTGCATTGAGGAATGTTACTTTTGAATAACAATTCTCTCATGAATTTTGGCACAAAGGGATGAGCCATGACCTTTTATGCCCAATCAAGAAAGCTCACTCGCTAATGATTAGCCTGCTTAATGTGGCATCTTCCAAACCGGTGTTACTGGAATATTCTGTGTACTTTTCAATCGTATTTTGACTCTGTCCCAACTTTTGTTGAGTGCGCTGCAGCCATCAAGTTCAAACTTTGCATACATTTACAAAATGCACTTAAGTTGGTCAGTACTGCTGTTGAAAATCTTTTTTTTTTTGTACTTTTGTCAGTTAAATAATGGGTCACATGAATTAACAAATCAGATTTTTGTTTTTATTGCATTTTAGAAAATGTCCACATTTCTGGAAATGGCTTGTACTTCCTACAATTTCCTTGTAGTTTTTTTTAATGCACAAGTGAAAAAAAGAAAATGAATAAAACGAAAGACAGGGGCCATACTACGTTCCACTGAGTGCAGAACCTTTGATAATAGCCTTCGATACTTTAGCAGGTTAGAATAGTGAAAACCATAAAGTTGACCAGTTTTAACCAGCAAGCAGTAATGTGATTTTTTATTTACCCTCATTCATTACATTGTTACACTGAATTGTGCCCGAGATTCTGCTCTAACCCGTTAACACGGACACCGAAAAGAAAATCAACACATTCCACAGCGGCCACACAGCCGGTGTGTCACAGGCCTTGGGGGGAGGGGGTGCAGTCTGATAAACAAAATGCAAAGTCTGTCGGTTAAGTGATATTGAATTTATTTTATCAATGTTTTTATGAAGCATCACGTGACCGTGTCAATATTACCACATACACCGCAAGGTTCGGTTTGTTAGCCCATAAGCATTACGGAAATTCCTGCAATTGCACATCTTTCTCATTTTACATATAATTGGCAACATTTCAATATGTACACTCAGTTATTTTATATAAAAAGAGCAACAATACAAAGAAAGAAAGAAAGAAAAAAAACACCAGCCCCACCCCATACGAAGTACAAGAATAAAACACAAGAATCAACCTCAATCTTAATCAGTTTCTGCCTTAGGCATACTTTTATTTTATAAAGAGAATTATTAGGTCAAAACAAAGTCTGTTTTCCTCTTCTGTTGATGCATGAATATTATACACAGTAAACCTGATTTAAAGACACTGTGCTACCCCCCCCCCCAGTCCACAATATAATTTGGACACTGTGTTCTGTATGTTGACAGGAAAGCAGCCACGCATCCAGGCGTCAGCCAGCTGCCATAAGGCCCCTGGACGTCCCCTGGGTGGAAACCCGGCAGGCGCAGCCAGGTCTGCTTTTAGTGTTTTGTGCTTGGAGTCGGATGAGCTGCCACTTAATCAGTGCTTCTAAAATGACAGGTTCCCTCCAAGCTTGGGCACCACAGAGCCATTTCTCAAAGGGTCCCAGCACAAGTCAATCGGTGCCACGGCGCTTTTGGGAAAGTGACCCCAGGACAAAGGAGAATGTTGCTTTTGGGATTCTTAAGTTTTGCAAAGTGCTGAAGTTTAGCTCTAGAAGACTCCATACGAGTTGGAGTACTCTATACTTAATAGCTTTTATTCAAACAGAACAGATTTTTCTTTCCGTAACCCCATAACCCGTACAACAGCAGAAAAGAATGCATATCTCACCATTTGCACGTTCACACACACACACACACACACACACACACACTTTGTAAAGCCTTTTCTGCTCTAGGCTGCTGTCAGGTGAAAGGACAAAAAAAAAAAAAAAAGAATTCTGCGATTCAATATCCAAACACACAGAACTACAAAAACACAGAGAAAGGAAAATATAATTTATAAGGAGCATTTTCCTGCTATAGTCCCTTGGTTTGGAGTCAGCCCCATGGCTGCCAATTCCCCACATAGACCTCGCCCCCCGCCCTGCCGAGGAAGTCCCAGGCCACAGAGGTACAGCACACCCTATCGGTCGGCGTAACATGGAGACGGTGTGCGGCTCTCGCTGTCATACCGTCCATGCAAGGCCCTGCATGGAAGCCGCTTCGGTCAGCCTCCCCCTGAGCGATGAGATTGGTTCTGCTATGGATCCATAGTAAACTTGTGAAAGAGGGTTTAAGTACCTCATGCAGGTCTTACATGTACCAGGCTGCCTGAGTCACCTGAGTCGGAGAGGGTGATGTACCCAGCAGTCATGTGACTGCAGAACGGAGCCTTATCACACTACTGATTAGCCAAGGCACTGGGCTTGTTCACTTCCCAAATGTCCTGTGGACTCTGATCTATCCCACCAATTACTCACTACTTTTAGGGCTGTGACCATTCAGGGGTCATGACAGTGAACTGTGGTGTTCGGATCAGACAGGAAACATCTCAGTGGCCTGGTGGAACTAGGGGCACCAGAACACGTTTACTTGGGCGTTTGATTGGGCACTGTCACCGAGTTCTATTGGGATGGCTTGGAAAAGGAGTGGAGAAAGGCCTCTGTGTGTGTGTGTGGACTCCTAAAAGCCACAAGGTCCAGGGCAGGGTGGGGTGGGACACAGACCACCCACTTGCCCCCCGGGTGACCCCGCAGGGTGACAGTCGAAGGGACAGCGGCCTCAGAGCTTGTTAGCGTACAGAGTGTCCTCGTCACTCTCGCTCTCGTCCTGGAATTCGTGGTTCAGCAGGGACTTCTTGGAGCCCATGGAGGCGAGGCGGATCTCGTCATCGTAGTCGTCGCGGTGCTGGCGGAGACGATGGAAGCCGTCCTTCTGTGGGTCCGACTTGGCGGCACAGACGCACCAGATGATGCAGGCGGTGATGACCAGCGCCGTCATGGAGGCCGCTGAAGGGGAGGGGGGGCAGAGCCATTAAAACGTCACGCTTTAAACATGAGGTCGGTGGGGTGACAGGTGGAGTTCTGGGTACATAACACTGGGTCTCCTTCAAGGGCTGAAACTGAACCTTATAAAGGTCGAAGTGGAAATACCTCAAAATGCAGGAGCCTCCAACTCACCTGCAGTGGCCACCACAAACTCCCTGGGCAGGCCGAAGAGGTGGTTGTCCATGTCAAACTCGATGACGATGGAGCTGGCAGCTTCGTACGATGACACAAACACCTGCAGGGAAAACGAGCGCCAATTCAATGGCGATTCACAGACCTCACCTCCCCGACAAAAACTCCAGTTTCTACACTGCACCCACCTCCTGTCTCTGCTGCTGGTAGCCCTCAGCCACTGCCTCGATGTTGTGAGACCCAGGGGCCAGCAGGGCATGGAAGTAACCCCCTTCGCCAGTGAAGACCCTCACGCCGCGGTTCAGAACAATGGCAGCCCCCGAGATGGGCTTGCCACTCCTGTCCCTGACAATGCCACGGACGCCCTTGTGCACCTGCAACAGTTTGATGAAAATCACTGAATAAACCTTTTGACTGAGGGGTAAAACTGCACAAAACCACGGCTATAATATGAGAAGAGCAGGGCATGACTGTAGAAGAGGTGACATTCACCCTGACCCCTATCTTACCTCCACCAGCATGCTGAAGAGCGATTTCCTGTTGTCAGCCCAGATGGTGGGCAGCTGCTCAGCAGCCGGGAACAGACAGCAGCTGGTATAGACTGTGATCTCAGGGCAGTGACCAAAGTCTACGCTGAAGTCCTGCAGTGGGAGCACAGGCGGGTCAGTGGCACTCTGGAGACCCCTGAGGTCCACACTCCAGGGCCTGGGGCACGTACCTTCATGCTGCCCATGTGACTGTGCCATTCAGCTGCCCGCACCACCCAGCCGGGGAAGTTCGCTGAGAACAAACGGGAGGAGTCAGTCACAAACCCAGCTACACTATTCCCGTGAGACATGACGGAGGCCACGCTTGACCCAGGGCTGTGAAATTCCTGCACCGGCCTCTTCAACCAGCGAGACATTTCCATTAGCATACCTTGGTTGTCAGGACATCTAGCATGGCCCAGGCGCATCTTGGGATGGTTGTTTGCATACACAGACGCCAAGTACTTCAGGGTCTCCTCATTCTCAACTGAATTGGTTAAAAATACAAATAAATGGATCAAAATTAAGTAGACTTGCCCTTTCCTTGGATACTAAAGCCACACAGGGCAGAAGAGCAGGTCATGTACCCGGCTGTACTGGCTTGTCATATGGGTAGGTGACAAGTACAGAGCCCCCATCCAGGGCCACGGACAGTGTGTAACCCTTCTCCAATATGAGCTTCATGACCGCTTCAGTCTCCGGCTGCGGCTTCACAAAACGGTTTGACGCATTTCCTGAAAAACCACAGCACGGTCAAAACGGTCATTGCAGGAAAGCGACGGCCTGGACAGACATGACACCGGTGGCCTACAGACCGAAGAAGTCGGTGTCGAGATCCTTGTGCTGTGCATTGGTCAGGCCCTTGGTGGAGGCACACTGCTTCTCTCGAGCCAACTCCCGGCCGTCTGGGTTGATCGAGGGAAGGATCACGATACGCGTCCGGTTAATCAACTGCACAATGGTCAGAATGGAGAACGAAAACATGGATGAGAATCTTCTTCATGCACGCTACCAGGTCGAGTCCCAGCCTCCAGATGATGCTGCTCAGAAGTAGCCCACCTTTGTGATCGCTGGATTCTTGCCATAGTTGAGACACAGAGAGGCAGCAAACTCTAGCAGAAGTTCAGTTCCCACAGGTGCGTTGCCATGGATTCCACCCACGAAGCGGATCTTGGGCTCATTAGGTTCTGGCTTGTCTGGTTTGTTGGAAATCTCGAGGGCCCAGATGGTCCTGACCTCAGAGCTCTGACCCAAGCTGGCATAAAAGAACAAGATCAGATGAAATGCCACCTCAGTGGTATTAATCACCGTATCAGTCAACATGCAGCGGGTGATGATCATCTCTCAAGTGTTTCAATATACCAGCAAGAACATATGCAAGCATTACACTCTTCATCATGGCCCTGTGTCAGGTGTACTGGCTGGTTCTTCTGGAGAGGACCACCAGACCAGTTCAAATAAGAACCTCACCTCACATCATCCTAACCTAATAACAAGCACTTCAGGTTAAATGGCCACCTCTTGTTAATGATTTTGTACTCTTAAAACGGTCTGGTGTAATCCTTGAAACAAAAACAGCACATTGTCTGAAATGAACTGAACCTTTAAATGAAAAGAAGTTCTACAAAGAGGGTCCTCTTTATCGATCACAGTGGACCACAAGAGTAATTTTTTGCACACATGCACCAACGGGTGTAGTGTAGAATAGGGACAGTGTTTGGCAGGAACAGGACCCAGAATCATGCCACCAGCCTGGACTTTCTGAGAGTCTTACCTGACTAGCCGCGTGATGTTAGGGAAGTTGAGGGTGAGTCCACGTAGGTACTCTGACAGCTCGTTGTAACGGCGATAGCGGAAGCTGCTGTCAGTGGCCATGTTCCGGACCAGCTGCTCCAGGCCATGGTCTGAGGACAGCTCTTTGATGAATGCGTGAAAGTCCTCCTCCTGGGGGTCTATCTCCTCGCTGCGCACGCGCGTCAGCCGGAAGTCTACGGACTCCACGCCCTCGGCAGGCACCGTTGCATAGAGCGTCACTGGAGTGTACCTACAGCAAGACAAGTACCAATAAAAAACAAAAGAAATGGCCCGTCCTATAGAAAGACCCCGGAAGGCAACTTGCACATCCTGACCTGTAGGCGGAGACTGTCAGCTTGTATGTGCCGGGCACCAGGAGTCTCCAGTAATCGCCATCCTTGCCACTGGTGACCGGGTGATCAATCCCCTCCACGGTGATAGTGGCGTTGGGGATGCCAGTACTATCCTTGCTGTCAAGCACCATACCCTTCACGCCCCGGTGAACCTGTACAAAGAAGTGTGCCCTCTAGTGATATAGTAACAGCCTTGGGATTTTAATCAAACATTGCACAGGCAAAATTGTGAACTAATTTATGGAGCAGACACACACACCTACAAAATTTTGTGTTATGTCTTAAGGTGATGATACACAGGGCAACTTTTTCAGCAATGTTGCTGGACAACTGCCAACCTGGTGAGACAAAGGGCAACTCATCTGGATGTGGATGATTGCTAAAAGTTGCCCACTGCTGATCAAAGTTTTTCAAATAGAACTTTGCGGCCGAGGATCAATGGAAATGTGCCCGGGCAACATTTGTCAGCAACAGGGCTCAAAAGGTTGCCCTGTGTATCGTGACCCAGAGTCTTGCTTCAGCATAAACAAACAAGGTCTGTCTGTCAAAAGGGGTGTGGTCTTAGTCTCCCAATCAAGGGGAGGAGGCAGGGCAGACCTGGTGAATGAACTGCAGCAGGGACCGGCGGTTCTCCTCCCAGTAGGTGGGCAACTCTGCGGCAGAAGGGTACTTGACACAGCCGAGCTCGATGGTCACCTCAAAGCAATTGGTGTTCACATAGTTCCAGTCCTGCATGCCACCTGCAGCCAGCAATAGCGGAGCTCGGATCCACATCACCAAGCACATAAAAACATTTAACAGCTTAACACTAAAAATTTAATCTGTAGGATGATGATTAAGCAGTCACTTGATGTAGCAAAATCCAAAAGAAATGAGGAACATATTAAACCTGTTGGGCCAAGGAGAACGCAGATAAATGCCTTTTGAAGAGCACTACAGCAATATTTGTAGCTGGATCACCAGCAGACAAGCACGCTAGTGAACGAGGGCGTGCCACACACTGCAGCACTGTATGGCTCACCTGCCACGTTGTACCACTGTGCCCCGTTGGTGATGCCATTCTCAAAATACTCGTTTGGGTAGAGAGCCTCACAAGGGTGACCTTTGCGCATCATGGGGTTAGCCTGAACAGGACGATGAGAGGAAAGCAACGCTTAGTGTAATGAGCGAACTGAAGGCCTCAGCCCCACCTCCAGCAGAGGTCACCGCTCCACCATATCCCAGTGACCGTCGTCAAGAGAGAAGAAAAGCCGCAACCCACCAAAGCGTCAGTCTAATGCCATTCGGAGATGATTACGAAACAGGTCGAAAAGCAGCCATAATTTGGTAAGGGGCCCTCCGCTCTGTGGCGCCACGCAGAGGCCCAAATCACTGCATCACAGCACCAAGCCTCACCCGAGAGTAAGCAAGGGACACCATTCTAAAAACGTCGTCGTCTGGGGACTTGCTGTACGCTGTGGTGCCTTGGGGGCCACCATCATATGGATAGTTCACCACCAGCGACCCTGGACAGGGAAGAAAAAAGGATGCTCAATGGAATTCCACCTCGTTTACACAGCCGGGGGCTAGACGCGAGGGAGAGAGGGCGAGGTGGGGCTTACCTCCATGCAGGTTGGCGGACAGCACAAATGGAGAGCTCTTCAACCAGTTCATCACGGCCACGGTCTCAGGCTGCCTCGGCTCGGAGATGGAGCTGAACTGATCGGGGAAGTTGCGGTTCAGGTCAATATTGTTGCTATTATTGCGGCCCATGTAGCTTTTAACGTCACCTGCGGGATTACAAGAAAAAGGTATCAGGCATCTTCTGGGAAAACTTCCTGTCTACCAACCCATCAGAGCGGAAACCATACAGGCAGCTCTCCAAGAGATGCGGCTTCTAGCACCAATGCTGTACGTCAAGTGATCGACAGTCACCCCCCCCAAATCACTGACTAGTCAGTTAGTAAAACTAGAGGATGCATGTGAGCAGGTGGTTAAGGGAGGCACTCACCCTCCTGCGCCACCTCATAACCATCCGGGTTCATGGAAGGCATGATATGGATGCGGGTGTTGTTGATGAGCCATGTGACCTCGGCGTCGCTCCCGTAGTTTTGACAGAGGTACTCGATGAGATAGAGGAGAAGCTCGCGACCCACCACCTCGTTGCCGTGCATGTTGCCGATGTACTTGAACTCGGGTTCGCCTGCCAAGGGAGGGGGCAGGCGTAAGAATCACAGTTTCGAGGTTTCAGGGCGAATCGTGCGCCATCAGGGTTCGCCGTGATCAGCGGTACCTTTCTCATGGACGCCGGGGTTGTCGGAAATCTCCATCACGTAGAGGTCCCGATTCTCCACAGACTTGCCGACAGAATAGCGCCGGGCGATGCTGGGATAATCCGTGCTGATCTTGTGTAGGAAGAGCTCCATGTCGGAGTAATGGTGGTGCCTGAAGTCCTGGGGCTGGACGGCTGCAGGCGCTGGCTTCGGTGTAGTCCCTGCACTTCTCCCGTCTGTACTGGGGGCCACATCCATCCCTGGAGTGGTGGTGGTTCTGCTAGGGCTGATGGGGGCCCTAGATGTGAGAGGTGGGGGCGGGGATGCTGGGGCCATAATGCCGGCAGACCCCGCCTGATCCAGAGCTGTCAAGGTGAAGTTCAGCTCCGTGGTCTCATTTTCCACCACCTGCACACCTTGCACAGTCATGGACTTGTACCTGCACCAACCAGAGACAGCATGCATTGAATTCTGGGAGCTGGAGTATAAAAACGCATGCCGAGTAATGAGGCCCATGAAGATAAACCAACAGCAGAGTACAGTTCAAGCACGAAAAGCCGACTTTGTGATGTCATCACATGACTGGGGATGGAAAATAAAACAGGCTTCTTTGGTATGGTGGCAGTGGGGTGGAAAGCTGGCTGTGTTCAGCACAGGACTCACCCCGCAGCGCTGGCTGTGACGTTATACGTCCCCGCCAGCAGGAGCCGGTGATAGTCTCCGAACTGGCCTGTGGTCACGTTGTGGTTGATTCCCTCCACCAACACAATCGCGTCTGGAAGATACGTCCCATTCCTCGCCTCCTTGACGTACCCCCTGACACCAATGTGAACCTGATGGAGGATGTCCATCAGGAATTCAGGAAGCCGGCCTTACAGGAAAGCCCCCCGCCCCCCTCACCGCCCCAGCCTGCCGCCATGCCCACCTTCTCCATGTACGCCAGCAGGGACTCGCGGTTGTTCTCCCACTCGGAGAGCAGTGCTGAAGCAAACGGGTGTTTGCAGCAGCTCAGCTCCATTGTGATCTCCAAGCAGTTGCCCTTCAGGTAGTTGAAGTCCTGCATCCCACCTGAACATCCCAAAGAGATCCCAAAAGGCACAGAGTTCACCTCCAGTGTCTGCTGCCTCCCACCAAAGCAAACTAAGGAAAATGGGCGACATAGAGTCAGCTTGGGAACAGCAGCAGGAGGCAACAGGAGGATAATCGACTGTGTAAAAGATGCTGATCTATTAGTCAATCCGAGGTCTCATCAGGAAACACAGGATGGAAGTCAACACTAAAAATGTTTAATAACAGTCTCGGATTCCTAAAATACTAAAGTATCATACAATCTGCTATATTAGAGCATTATAGGAGGTGACACGCAGCAAAAGCCACCGGGGCTCCTCATCAGGGTTAGACTGGAAAGCACGTGTCAGCATCAATGAAAGCAGGAGACCAACAGCTCACACAAAACTGCCCGTCATTGTTTATAGATCAGCTCCGGCCCCTCCCAGTTTCAGTATGTAAGCCGGGTCATGTGACAAGTCACATGACGGAAACTCCAATAATGACTACTTAAAATTGGCCTTTGGCATGTCTACCCCCCCCAAACCAGTTACAGACAATCAGAACAGCCTGGAAGAATTATGAATCATTATTCTACAATGAAATAAATGGACTGATTGTAGCAATATGAGAATTGATTAAATGAAGAAGGGTTTAGAACTACAGGCCAAGCTTCCAAAGCAGCATTCCGGGGCTCTAGCCCTCCTGGGAAGTGAACGGGAATGACCTGCTGGTTTCACAGAGGCAGACAATTGTGAGAAGCAAAAGCTCACCGCAGTTGCTGTCTCATGCCTGTGGGCTTAGAAAGACTCTTCTGGTCACAATATGCATGGCTACTCCATGACACTTACAAAAGCATGGCCGCCAGAGGACCAGGATATGGGGACCCATCCCACAGCAACTTGCTCCCCGAGGCTCTTCCATTCTCTGCTCCTCCAAGTGCACAGTACTCGACCGCAGGTGCTGCTCCCATGACCACGCCCACTGCTCTGCACAAGCTCCGCCCAGTTCTGACTTATGCATATCCGTGAGGTGGGCATGTTGAACCCGGTCGCGGACGGCAAGATACACAAAGGGGCCATTACTCAACACATAGCCCGTGGCAGCAGATCAAAAGGCATTCATAAACCCCACACAGGAGGAAGTCAGCAAACAGGAGACAGCAAACACACGGAAAAGCGCACAGTACTTTCCCGGGGTTTCGGATTTCTACAAACATTACCTTAGCGTTCCTGCAGCCGGCTGGGGAAGGCTAACAAACCGCAGCGCAATTTTAAATGTAGCTGATAATTAAGAACGGGAATAGCACAAGCCGCATTTTGGGTGACGGCTTTGCTTCGACACTCCTGTCTGCAGCTCATCAACAGGTCAGCAATTTCAAGCAAGAGAAGTTTAACAGAAGAAGAACTGAGGTCTTCGTTTAAGGGGAATCCCTACCCAGAACCCACAACCATTTTAGCAGAAATGTCAGCTTGACAATTTCTGAAGAATAACACCCCACAGAAGACATTCATTTTATATCCGGGAAGCCTGGTTTCAGACTCCACATCCTCTTCAGACTTAAGTTGCTCGTGGTGGAAAATAATACGCTGACTTTGGAAGAGTATGAGCAGAAGAGTCACTTATCTGTGGCACCCCCCCCCCCCGTGTCCTAACAAATTCTAACAAATTCCTCTGGCACAGACCCAATTCCATTATCGGATGACACATGTATGATCTCACACCTTCACGAGACCGACAGCAGTTTGTGAATCGGGACCAGCAGCACAAGAACCACAGACCTACAGTGAGAAGCTTCACCAGACACATTCATCATAACAGCCAGCTCATGATACCTCCCCAGAGGTGTGATTTGATCTGTTAAGCTTTCCGTCTGGGTCCTGCGGTTGGACACACCTAAAAAATAATGACTGCGGCACCGAAACCGGTTCCTCTTCACAATAACCCAACCTGAACGCACTTGCACAGAACGCAGTCTGGGGGGGCTGTACCCTGAATCGGAACCACGGAGCCTCCAGCAGAGCATAGAGGAATAATGCAGCTATACAGGAAGGCCAAAGAGGCCGACACAAGAGGCCGAGATTAAAGCCCTCACAATGTCAAACGAGTGCCCTTAGAGCACGGAGTACAAGCTCAGTGTAGCGTTTTAAAAACCCTATCTGCTATTTTGAATAACAATGTATGAATATCGTACAAAAGGCAAACTGATCTTGCCCAACGGAACAGAACAGTAATGGTGTTTAGGATAAAGGATCCCTTTCAAACCAGTGTTAATTGCTTCTCTAGTTACCCATTAACGTTTCTGTAAAGCGGGAATCCCACCCATCAACGTGGTGACTGGAATGAAACGGGCCAGAGCGAGTTACATCACACAAGGCAGCTCTGACCGTTTGCTGCTTCCAGGACACGGGACAACAAATGTAAGAGTAAACATCCGGATTGGGTTTCCTGCTTATTCTGGGGGAGGGGGCGGTGCACACAGGCTGCAGGAACTGGAGATGCCCTTACACGACTCCCACCAGTGCAACTAGACACCAGGTAGACCATAGCCGTGGAATAAAGGGTGCAGACCGAGCGGGCATGACTGCGCGTGGGCCGGGCGTGGTTACGAGGCCTTGCCAGAAACACCGTGATGTCACCAAGTAAGCAAGCAGCGCTGAGGTCAGCGGCAAACGACGGCACCCAGCATGGCTCCTGAAAGGAACAAATCGTCCCTCACGGCCCCGGGTTCGGGTGGCTGGTTGGTATGTTCCAGTGTGTCTCAGTAAACAGACCATGTCCTCAAGTGACCCCGATAGCATTTTAGAGCAGCCTTTCTGAACACTCCTTACATTAACAGTGCCTATTGGTTGGTAACTAGGTAGATTCAAATCGGGTTATTTATGGTTTCTATGGCAGGATTTTAATCTGTCAAGATTTCTGACCAACATTACAGGCAGATTGAAATCAGCAGTCTGGGTAAAATGCCTCACTTCACAATGGTCACTGTACCAGTACAGACACCAGCCCAAAACAAAGCACAAGAATTGCCAAGCTGTAAATACAAGAAAGGTCAAAAACATTTTACACATTGTTTTAATGAACGAAACAAAAAGGTATGAGATCAGGACAGCATGAGATAGGAACATGCCAGTTCAGACAGTGGAGTCTTGCCAGGAGAATTTGGGCCTGTCATGCTGGTAGTTCAGCTCAGATATTTGTGACCGTCTCTATGGAACATTCAGGGTAGAAGCCAAGTTTATGCGACGTGTTTGTACAACAACCCATAATCAGCATGGGCAGACGACATATTTAGGCTCAAATGAACACCTTAACTACAATGGCACACAAAACATCAACAAGGAAAATCAACCCCGCTCACCAACTGTCCAAATCCAGAAACACTTCACATTTTTATGTGAATAACAAACACAACAGCTGTGTAACAGAACACAGCCTTATCCTGACACAACAGAAACAACAGATGACTTCAAAGCAATCGGCTTAAAATACCAAAACACCACTGTACAGCAACATTGCTTATAATTGTTGCTATTAAGGTGACAAAAAAACAAGCACATGCTTCGCACATGGTGGGTGGGGGTGGGTGGGGGGGATTTGGGGGCGCTATCACCATAGCAACTGAGAACCTTCTCAGTTTCATGGACTCGGATTTAGAGAGAGCACAGGAGGCAGGCCCTTACCCGTCACATCGTACCACTGCGCCCCGTTGGTGATGCCGTCCTCGAAGGTCTCCTCCGGCGTGTCCGGGCACTGCGGCCGCCCGGTCCTCATTATGGGGTTGTGGTCCGCGTAGGTGCGGGCCAAATACCTGAAGAGCGCGTCGTCCGCGGAGCGGCTATAGTGCCCCGTGACGTCGTGCGACGCCGAGTCGTCAAATGGGTAGCTGGCCACCACAGTGCCGCCGTGCAGGTTGCCAGAGAGGACGAACCTAAGATGGAGGGACAGAGGAAGAGGGGCAGCTGTATCACTAAAGAAATGAAGCAATATTCACACCATCTATGTTCCGGGTCACTGAGGGACTCAAACAGGTGTTTATATTCTGTCATTGGGGACCAGACATGACGAGACATCTGACGGCTGGTGCGACAGCTGCGGTTCCTGCAGTCCAGCCGCACTGGTCTATTACTACCAGGCTACACGAAAGAACCTGGAAATTAAACAAAAGTTAAAAACAAAAGCTCTACCTTTTCTCTAGGATCCACTTCATGATGGCCCGGACTTCGGGAATGGTGTCTTCCTGGACATCGTCGGTTTTAAACTGGTCGGGGAAGCTGCGGTTAAGGTCCTGATTGAGGGCATTCTCCCGGCCACCGTGGTTGCCCTCGCAGTCCCCCTCCACCGAGCGCTGGAAGCCGTCCGGGTTCATGCTCGGCATGATGTAGATGTCCGTGCTGTTCACCAGCCGCGTCACCCGGGGGTCCTCGCCATAGCGGTCCAGCAGATGCTCCACCAGGTAGACCAGCACCTGTCTGGAGACCGCCTCGTCGCCGTGCATGTTCCCCACGTACTTAAAGCGGGGTCTCCCCGGCACGTCGGCGCCCGGCTCCGCGGTGATGCGCATCACCCACAGCTCCCTACCCTGGACCGAGCGGCCAACGCTGGACAGGTTGGCGATGTGCGGGTACCGGAGAGCGAGCGCTTTCAGCAGCGTGCTCAGCTCCTCGTAGCCGTAGTATCGATCATAGGTTTCCGGACTTGATTCCTCCGGCGAGCTCCTCAGCACCCGAGCCCCGCTAACATACGGTGGCTTGAGAGCCACCGCGAACGCACAGCCAAAAAAGAAGCCCCAAAGCGAGAGCTTCCGGCCGGCCAGCGAACGCGACCGCCGCTGATTTTGCTCCAACATGATCCCGGCACTCCTGGCCCACTTCCTATCTCCTGATCCAGTCCGTAGGGGGCCCCAGACAGATCCTTAGCCGATCTCTTGATCTTTGACCAGATTCCTTCTTACTTACAACTTCCCTTTAACCCCGGAGAGAGGCGGGGCTTCGTGCGTGTCATCATCCGGGGGCGGGGCTTGTGTTAAGGTCGCAGTATAAACTGCACGCCTCATTAGCGGCATAACGTTGAATTAATTTTTTATTTTTTGAAAATGAGATTGCCTTTGTCATAAGTAGAACAAAATAATCCATAATCTTAAATTTAGCGGAGTATTTTAATAGAAATTATATTGTTTATTTCTGCGATTGACTTCTGAAATTGAATTAAGAATATTAAAAGGTAATAAATATATATAGATTCATTTTGAATGCTTTTGAATGTGTTTATTATTATTTGAGCTACAAAACCTGGAGCTATTAGTGCACCATGGACTTGTGGGACAATTAAAAATCGTTAACTTCTATAATCAATCCCCCTTTCTTGACCACTTGGTGACGCAAGTATACCATTTTCCGCTGAGGTTTTCTATTTTGTTATAAGTTCCAGGATTCCAGGAAGTTTCAAGTTACAAAACAGGAATGATGTGGATATCTGGAATCTCTTTACAGAAACTACAGTTCTTGCGGTCAACTGCCGCATTCCGCCACAATATACAGCCGTGGAAAAATATTTTTCGTTTCACACACTTCTCAATTTATGGGTGTGCGTCTGTGAAATATATATATATATATATATATATATATATATATATATATATATATATATATGCAAACTGCACCCTTGTTCTTCTCTGTTTCTCATTAATGAAGGTCTTGCTTTATGGGACTTCAGTCCAGCTTCTAGGAGCCCAATATTCACTTCACACCTGCACTTAATGTTTCCCATTCCTTTGAAGGTCACTTGATGTCATCTTCCAATTCATGAGAAGCTGTCCGATAAGTTAACCGTCTCTACCATTAGAAAGTCACGTCCACCGGTTACCTGGCTGGTTTCTGGTCATTCCCATTGTCTCCTGCTTCACTTTATTCTTTTCTACTGCTGTCTTAGAAAATTTGAACCTGCAGCTCAGCATAGCCTTCTGCAAGAAAAACCACCATTAAAACAGGATTTAAAAATGCAGATTTATTTAAGAATATAAAATGGTCTCTTAATTTTTTCCACGGTTGTATATCTGTACTTTGATATCAAAGAGTTCAAAATTAAAGCATTGCAACAATTTAATGAGGTTCATCTCATGTTTTAAATAAGCCAGACCAGGCAAATAACTGATAAATATATATAGCATATTTTCTGTTGCTTTGAGCAACTGTAAAAACATTTGGTTTTATATCATTTAGTCTGCTTTGTGTTCTTCAAAATCACAGGGACTAATTCTTGTCCCTGACAAGAACATTTATCGGAACACCTATTGAAACAGGAGTGCAGTACATGACACGCTATGCCAGTGTTTCCCAATCCAGTCCTTGGGAACCTGCAGACAGTCCAGATTTTTGCTCCCTCTCGGCAAAAATATGGACTGTCTGGCAGGGAGCTGGGAAGGAGCAAAAACATAGACCGGCCATAATTAGCCTAAGCTGCCATTATGAAATTAAAATGTCATCAAGGCAGGTTTGTCTTTCCTGCCCCCAGAAAGGAACAATTCAGAACCAGTAATTTTAAATTATTTGACCAGCATTTCATTAATACATGTAGTAGTTATGAGGATTAGTGCTTGCTCCCGTCAGCCTGATATGGTTACATCAGGGAATGGTAACAGTGTCAGATCACCCAAGGACCTGCACCATGCTGGGCGCCGCCCTGCCTGCTGGGGCCCTCACCTGTCAGGCAGCATTGCAGACAAACAGAAGCACACTCCCCTTCTGCCAGAAAGCATGAAGGCAGCAACAGCAGGGATCCAGCTGAGTCCCGCAATCAGCACATTGCATGTCCAGCCCTGGAGGGGGTCGGGCGGCTTTCTGCTGATGCTGGGGGGCCTGCACTGAGCCCCAGCATAAAAAAATGTGCAGAGTCAGCCAGCCCAGGCAATCAGCACACCCTCCCCACCCTCCAGAAACAGGGGCCCCTCATCTGTCCAGTGCCAAGGTGGGCTCCCCTGGCCAATCACAGGCAGGGGGAACAAAACAAGCAGAGCAGCATGTGTATATAAGCTCACACGCAGCACTTTGTTTGGTCGTTGCAGCAGCCCCTCATTCTGATTTTTCCCATCCACCTACAGCTATTAGGTGAGATTCTCAGGTGTGAGATGGTTTGGGGTTTTGTTTGGGAGGGGGCAGTGTGAATATGCGGAATCAGGGACTGTCAGAGCAGGGGAACTGGCAAAGCAGCTCTGGACCACCCTACTAGGAGAAAGTTACCTTTACCTTTGTGGCTCTGGGAGTGACCTTATGACCATGCAGAACATGGGACCAAGAGCGGGAAAAAGGAAAAATAGGAAGCACGTGTCAGAGACCAAAACTGATAGGAACAGATTCATCGTACAGACTGACTGTACTGCTTCATCACTATTTCTATCAAAGAGCGAGCTTTCGGGGTCAGTGATTCTGCTTTGCAGTGCGGATGCTGTGCGGATGCATGTTGTCATGCAGTGCTGGGTGCTCTGTAAGACACGTGCCCTGGGGTTGATGCCTATGTGGAGCCCTCAGCAATCTTCACTGCAAGCACAAGCAGCACGTCAAGCGTTCAAAACAAAGTGAAATCGGAGAACTAAGTCGGTGTTCCTCCGAAGATGGCTCCCTAGACAGCCACTGGTGTCGCCTAATGGCCCAGCACTGCTGGTGGCTCCTATGTCCTTCACGTTCTCTGTGTCCTTCACGTTCTCTGTCTCTTTCACGTTCTCTGTGTCCTTCACATTCTCTGTGTCCTTCACGTTCTCTGTGTCCTTCACGTTCTCTGTGTCCTTCACGTTCTGTGTCCTTCACATTCTCTGTGTCCTTCACGTTCTTTGCTTTCTTCTTCTCTCAGTCTCTTCTGTGACCCCAGGACCCGCCATGTCGCACTCAGGAGCTCGGGGCAGCATGGGAAGCCACTCAGTACTGAGTGTGCAGACCCACAAAGTAGGTAACGCCCAACCCCCCCACCTACCCTACACCAGGGGTGCAGATGGCCGGGTGGGGGAGTATATCGGGGCCCTGATCCATTTTGAGGAAAAAAAGACTGTAATAAGTAGCACCCCTGATTAGGGTTGGATACTGTGATGTTTGTACTCATCAAACCACGTCCACAGAATGTAGTTGCTGTAGGTAGGAGACCCTTCACATGCACACGCATCCCGGCGCCTGCACTCACGCGCTCCCACTGTCTCCCTTTATCTCTGTTTGTAGGTAGACAGTGAAGTGCACACATTCCTATTAGCCTATACATAGCTGTAAAAATTTCCATTTCATAGATGACCTCCTGATTTAACAAAGCAAAAATAACTCAAACACTGACGCCACGTTCTGAAACATTTTATTCGAGAAAGTATTTTAGGTACTTCCCGCATTTGTGCATTCTGCTTGTATTCTGCCATTGCGGGTTTTAGGTCCTGAACGAGTTGAGATCTGAGCTGCCTATGTTGTGCTGGATGCAGTTTTGGTCACACAGACGGTATGCAATACAGAACAAAAGTAACCCAGAAGGGCAAAAGTCCATCAGAGTGTTCTTTTAAATATCAATGTACGCAAACTTCAATTCAATGCAATTTATATCAAGCCTATGCTGGATGCGATTCATAATTTTTCTCGTATCTCAGGCTAATTTATGTTACTGCAAGAAAGCTAACGATTTAAGTTGGACCTAATGTGAAATTATGTCTTAGAGTAGAACAATAAATCTATGAATGTGTCATCACATGTGTAACATTAGAGTATCCTGGGGCTCAGTAAATTTAAACTTATAACATTGTAGAGAAGGCTGTCTGTTGTTTATGCTACTGTCCAATAGGCCATGTGTGAATGATAGGTAATTCCAACCAGAGCTGGGTAATTCAGATCCAGAGAGTAGAAGTCCAGACCAAGATTTTGTTTCAACCAAGTATAAAGAGTCACAGTCAGAGAGTACTCAACTGCTTGGTTGAAACAAAATCCCGGTTTGGAATTTTACTCTCTGGACCTGAGTTACCCAACTCTGTTTTCGTACAAGACAACAAAGTAATAGTGTATGTATGTCGACCTGTGTCACTCAAAATGTTTAGTGTATTAAGCATGGCTAGGTAAGCTTGAAAGTTGTTTTGCTCACTGTTCTGTTCTGTCCCTCTCCCCCACTTCAAAAATCTCACCTGCACCCTTTCCCTGCACATCATCCTCCAGTGCACTAGCCCCCCCTGCCTGCCAGTAGGATACCCCCACTGCCGGGTGGCTGTTTGTTAGTGTTCCATTCCCCCATCAGCTTGATGAAATTTAACACAGTGTCACAGCCTCAGTCTTCTGGTTTCTCTGCAGAAGGCTTGATGCACATCTGCTTTGCTTCCTCTGTGTAACCAGGTCTGGCTCTTCGAGTTCGAGAACTTCCAGGGCCGAAGGGTGCACCTGACGGGGGAATGTCTTAACGTCTGTGATTATGGTTTTGACCGGGTCAGGTCCATCAGGGTAGACTGTGGACTGTAAGTCTTTCCAGTCTTTCCAGTGGCTGCCATAATATACTTCAAATAGATCAAAATCTAATAATTGCCATATAAAGGACACACCATTTAGATAAAAACTTTAAGATATAGAATGTCATTTAGTCTATAAAGAAGAAACATGTTATACAAATGTTATACAATGTATGTTATACAAAAATGTATGACAGTTATTTTATAACTGTTTGCTACATACAAATTTTTCTGAGTGGCATTTCCCCACCCACTTTGTTTATTAAATTTTGAGTGGCATATTTTAAATAAGTAATGTGTAGTAACGTTTGCAATTGGATCCGCGGTCGTACGTGACCTGCATGTGAAAATATGCCCTCTGTTGGCCATACATGGTACTGCAGATGACATCACCTACTTTGCAACTGCATCCTGTCGGTTGACTCCTAGGCAGGGAGCCTTTTGTATCATTCGCCCATTCATCTCACGGCCCCTTTTGCATCAGTCCCTTCTTAAGTGCCGCCGTGTCCCCGTGCAGGTGGGTGGGATATGAGCAGCAAAACATGATGGGTGAGATGTTCATGCTGGAGAAAGGAGAGTACCCTCGCTGGGACAGCTGGACTAGCAGCTACAGAAATGACCACCTCATGTCTGTTAGACCTGTTTACATGGTGAGTCACTCCACTGTATGTCAGCGGCACACTGATCTGGGATCAGACCATAGCTCTATACACCAATGACTGTAAAGGTACCTGGTCTGCCTGTGTAGCAGACAGATTCACCACTATGTTCCATGTAGTTCTGGAAACAGATTAACAGTGATAGACCACAAATCCCCATTGTCTGATAAGCGGCATGCTAACTCAGATCACTCCTGGACATCTCTCTGCAGAACAGCATGTACCATAAGATTTGCCTGTTTGAATGTACCAACTTTGATGGTCGCAAGATGGAGGTTTGCGATGAGGACATCCCCAGTCTGTGGTCCTACAGCTTCCAGGACCGCGTGGCCAGCATCCAGGTCACTGGTGGAGTGTTAGTGAAATCCTACATTTTACCCATCATACTACAAGCTGAATAATGTTTCATATAATTTTCTTTCTTAAAGTATTTCCTGCATGTACCTGATCGTGGTGGGAAAACATTATGTGCAAAATTGAAGTGTTTTAGTCAAGTCTCTCTCCCTCTGTCTCCATCCCACCAGTTGGGTGGGCTACCAGTATCCTGGTTACCGTGGCTACCAGTACGTACTTGAGCGTGGTACCTATCCACATTGGAACAACTGGGGTGCCCGCCACCCCCAGATCCAGTCTATCCGACGTGCGAAGGACTCACAGACGTACCACAGGGGCCGCTTCACCATGGGGCTGTAGGAGGGGCCAAGCTGAGCCGGCGTCCCCTCTGGTGACGTCATCAGCTGCTGACGAAATAAAACTATCATCAGTCAAGAAGCATAAGAACCATCAGATGCACAGTTTGTACTACAGCCCTCATTAATCACTATAGGCCAATAGTATTGCTGTGATTGGTAACTGGATCCAGCCACAATATAATAACAATGTGCTTGACATGCTCCAGTTAGATGTATGTCAAAAGGAGATGTGGAATGACAAGGATGTGACACAACAATGTGGAATTGTTGCTTTTTTTCTTCCTTTCTTCTGGACAGTCATTTCATTCTACTTTTTTTTACCATAACTGGACAGTAACGGGTCTACCTACTTTACATCTTTCTCAGGGATCCTGACATCTGGAAACTGATGCAGTCCTATCAATGCAGTGGGTTGGTGCATGGGAATTTGTTTTTATCTACTTCTATTCATTACGCACCATACTTTAAAATAGATGTGGTTGTCTTTTCATCATGTCATTAAAGTGTCTTGTCTGAATTCTGTTTCATGCATGTCTTCTGCTGGTTTTTCACACAGGCTACTGCAAATGTACCAGGAACTGCACCCAAAGATTGTGCTTAAGGTACATGATTAATGCTTTACTTCAAACTGTGACATGGGCCTATTCAGTTAGAAAGCCGTTCATATCAAACGATAAAATATTAAAATATCATCAACAGTCCACATGTTCATGGAAATGCATGTTAGGCAATTCTTTTCAATATACGTGGACGGTCTGGTTTCGGGTCAGAAAATAAAACTACGCCTTGAGCCTTGAATCAACCGCTGGCTTTCTGCTATTGATATTAAGACTTGCGGTTTGATCTTGCGGAGTCTCTGGCTTCTAACATTGACGTTACACAAAAGCTCCGTAACTCACTTTTCACGCTTTGCCTGAGTTTTCCACCGGTGAAGACCTGAGGGGACACTCGTCTTCCGGCCATAATAACACTTTTGCTGCTTTGCTGTTCCACGGACCGTGTGCCAGCGCTGCTGTGCGGTCAGGTGCGCAGCCAATGCGCGGCCGCGTGCGCGCACACCCGCGATCTGTGCGGCTCCACAGCGGCTGATCGCACCATCGCTGGACTGAAGGGACCGATTTAAAGAAAGGCGATTCACGCAGAGTAGGAGTGAAGGCTTAGTCTTTGAGAGGGGTGGGTGGGGGGAGTGACTGCTTCGTATCAATCTATCTACCAGGCTGGGGGAGGAGGGACGAAGGATGAGCTATTCTTGTGCCAGTAGAGAGGTCGGTCGCAATAGCCAGGGCGAATCTGAAAGCAGCTCCAAGAAAGCCGGTAATAATAAGGACAGTAGTGATAAGAGACCCCGCCACAGCCCAGCGACCGCCAAGCCCAAGCCGCAGCTGGAAATGAAAGTCAAGAGAGGGTGCGAGTCATCAGAACCGGGGGTGCCGGCGACCACGGAGGAGGAGCTGCTCCGGAAGCCCCTGATCTCCCCAGAAGATGTACTCGGGCTACAAAATATCACCAAAAGTAAGTTGGCAGATAATTTAACTAAGATGCTCCCGGCAGACACGGAGACAGCTACACTGCTGTCGTACCTTTTCCACTTGCAGTGCTTACCACCATGTCTCTCCTGACATGCAACAGCGTGTTTATAACCATTACCATATTTTCTCCTTGAATTTGTCTCACCGTTGTGTTGCTGTCGATTGTGCCCCCGACGCGATGGTCGCTGCCATGAGAGCAGCATATTAATTCGGCTTTATCAGAAAGAGCTATTTCCAGGGAAAAACCTCATTGTACATCCCCAGCTGCACTGTGCCGCTCATCGTTAGGGGACGTCAGCGTCTCCGTACAGCACATATGCAATGCGATCTCTGCGAGATAACTTTGACTGGACGGTTTAATTACATAGGGCTACTACAGTAACAAAAACATTTATTTTTTTTCTGAATTGAATGCTTGAAAGCCATAAACTGGTTGGGAATTGACTTCATATGCAAGGATAGTGCATGCATTACTGCGAAATACATAACAATTTTGTGTAATTGGCCCTTTCCCCTTTTTATTTTATAAAAGGTTTATAGACGTTGCAAGGTGGCAAGAGTTAATGCGCTTAATTGCGCTTTTTTCGCAAGAATGTTTTAAGCTGCTATAAGCGAATGAGTTTTTAATCTTAGGCAATAAGCCGATGGTTTCATTACTCTTATGTAATCAAACACTAACGTGCACTTATGCACAAAAATCGCCGTTAACCTCCAAGTGTCTTTCCACATCTCTTTAAGTAAAACGACGAAATGTCAGAATACGACGCACTGCATGTCATATATAAGAGGTTTGCAACAGACGCGTAGCTTGGAATATATAATCGATTTGTGCTTTCGGTGTTTGACAAATACGGACCGCGGAACCGGGGTCCATAAATAAACCACACACAATGGACGCCCGCTGATGACAATTAAACATTAGAGGAGACTTATGTGTATGAACATTTTCCAGCCTTATTCATTAGGCTACGTCCTGAAATAGACTGCTATCCAACCAATTTTCACCATCAGTCCTTTACCTGTGCGACGGTTCGCGATTAGGTAACAGGTGTTTAATACTGACCACAGTCAGGAGACTTTAAAAACCTGCAATAGACATTGTGCAACAAACGGAAACATCGGAGGCAACTCTATATTTTCGATTCCTTTTCTTTAGTCATCTGGCGTGGCACAACATGGGCTACCTCAAAAGCACCAGGGTAGTTTGCAAGCTCTAAAGACTATTTACATGATGACAAAAAACTGTTACATGCATGCAAATGCCTGTGCATGTGTGTGCAGACTTGTCACGTATTGACAATCTCACGCCAGCCAGTTGACCAAAGTCGACAACCATAACCATAGAAGTTATCACACTTCCTTTGTAAGATAGAGGAATGGTGTAAACTCGCACTGTGCACCAGAGTCAGCGGTGCGTGTGAATCTCTCAGTCTATTCCGTCATGTTCCCCAGACATACATATGGGGTGTGAGTTCTCTGGGGGTCCCGATTACATAAATCACGACCTGCTCGCACCAGGAGCAGCGGCCCACATGACCACACTCTGGAGCCCTGACCCCATCACGCAGAGCTGAAGCTGATCTCCAGCCGCCAGGATGTGCCCTGGTGTCACGCGCTTGTGCCTTTGACCCATTTTCAGCAGCAGATGGTGAGCGGTAATGGGCCACGTGTCCAGGTCTCACTCAGCCTCTCCTACAAGGTGCAGCACCAGCTCAGTCCGGCATCACCGCAGTGAGATATGATCAAGTGCTTCAGGTCTGGACGCTGTGACCGGGAAGCCGCTTCAGGTCTCTGTTATTCCCTTAAACGTGCCATCAGAATTAGAATCAGATTTATTGGCCAAGTGTGTTAACTCACACAAGGAATTTGGTTTCGAGCGGTGGTGTCTCTCAAGTTAGACACACAATATACAGACAATGAACATAAAATTCAATGTAAGTCATATACAGATTATATACAAGTAATATACAGTACTGTGCAAAAGTCTTAGGCAGTCACAGAAAATTTTATTTAAATGGTGTAAAACTGACATTATGTCTATCAAAGTATGTCAGCTTTAGCATGTCAAGTCATCTCCTAAACTCACTACAGTATTTGCAGCAACTGTCCAATACACTCGTGTATTTTTTGACTCGACCGCTACCCCACCTTGTGTGGTTACTCAGTATCCTATTAATTTATTTAACTAATCATGGTGATTAATTAATTGAGCTGGTGGAGAAATTCAGCGAACATATAGAATGGCTGATGTACCCCTGAGGAGAGGTTTGTGAAGCAGATCAGAGCTAATCTCGCCATCCAACCAGATACCCGTAACTTTTTGGAGAAACAAATGAAATTCTTGTTCATTTTTATTGTGCTACCATTAATTTGCATATGTTATCATGGTAATTGTTTTGTTTTGAGCAAACATAAACGTACTACCAAGATAAATAGCCATAAACATTTTCTTTGACTGCCTAAGACTTTTGCATAGTACTGTACATGAAGTGTCCACAACAATAATGAGTATCATGTATGTGAATGAGAGTATTCAATACAGTATTTATATAAATGTGAGGCAGGGTGTAAAGAGCAGATTAGCAATGGGGATTGCAGATGATACTGGTCAGCTATCCCATGGCTGCTGGTCTTTATACATCTTGATGTTGTGCCTCTCCAGGTTAAAAATATCAAGCCACTGAGTGTTATTCCTAAAATATGTATGGACACCCATAATGGCAGGCACACACCCTGGGCATACCTACAGGCTGCTGTGCTCGGGCTTATGAAGGTCTCTGCGATTCATTTTGGGTATCACTGCAGACGATAGCCGATGAAAGCACTGTGGCTGTGATGCACCACTTTGATGCGAATAACGGTAATGGCCCCAGCACCTGGTTCCACTTTCCAAAAGCCTTTTATGCATTGCAGAAGTATTTCGAAACACGCCTTGCGAATCTGTATGCAGGAGGTATAGAAAGAAGCAAGGAGAGTGGGCTCATGGGACGGCAGGGACTCACAGGGAGGCAGGGACTCACTCACAGGAAGGCATGGACTTACAAGAGGGCAGAGACTCACTCACAGGCAGGCAGAGACTCATAAAGAGGAGGGACTCATGAAAGGCAGAAACTGACAGGAAAGCTAGGAATTACAGGGAGGCTGGGACTCATGGGAAGGCAGTGACTCAGTAAGGCAGAAACTCACTCACAGGAAGGCAGGGTCCCTGCTGGGCTGATGTACAGTTGCCGCGGTGACATTGTGGACTGGAGATGATACAGAACCACTTTACTGCAAAGCAGCTCGAGCAGGTGGGGGGGGTGGGGGGGGCATAGAAAAGCACAGAGTAACAGCAAGTTAAATCACATCATTCACGCTTCAGGGAGCAGAACAGCAGCGGCTGAGATTCGGAGCGCTGCAGCCCTGAAGATTCAGTCTTTTATTTCTCAGAGCTGTTGATGCGTATGGTGTGTATATTAAGGAGACAGAGATACTTTACTGGCAGGTGGATTTCGTACCTGAAAAGGTGAGGGAAGGAAAGAGGGGGGAAAGCAGCGGAATCAGCGAAGCCGGCACATTGGTCTCCGCTGGAGGCTGCCTCCCTCTCTCGGGCTGGTCTCCGCTGGAGGCCGCCTCCCTCTCTCGGGCTGGTCTCCGCTGGAGGCCGCCTCCCTCTCTCGGGCTGGTCTCCGCTGGAGGCTGCCTCCCTCTCTCGGGCTGTTGACCAACAGCAAGAAAGAAATGAGGGCAGCTATTTAAATCAAACTCTGGGAATGAGGGATGGTGGAAGTCACCCCCCCCCCCCCCCGGGACCACATGGACCCACCTCACCCCAGCCTTATTAATGATGCTTCTTCATGTGGCTTAATTACACGTTTGTTAACTTTACATTTTTGCAGTTGGTATTATTATATATACAAGCTGAATTAAGACCAGTGTCATGGATAGCTGCAGTTCACTCTGGTGGCTTCTGTGTTCTTCTGTCTATCTTCTGATTCTCACATCCAGCTTATATTTCACAGCCTGAAGGCCTTACAGCGCTGCCTCAGCTTGGCCGCACGCCGCAGCTCCTCGCATCACGGGTACAGGATGTAGTCGCCATCCTCCGGCGAGCAGCGGGCCGCGATCCCGATGCGCCATGTGACTGAATCAGGCCTGGACCCTCTCCCACGTGGCGCTGACTCCCACTGTCACTGTCTGCTATGAAATGATGCAGCTTTTACAAGCTTACATATTGTTCCATAGGAGGGAACGGGCACGAGATCAGCCAATCAGCTAACCGGCAGGATGGAGGTCAGCCTGAGGGCTGGGGTAGGGTGGGGAGTTTACAGGAACTGCAGGAAAAGTATAATTATTTGCCATATATCCACTGGGCACTTTAATCTTTTTGCCCGATTTATAAGTGCTGTCATCGGCACCACCTGGTCATTGCAAAGGGACGAATGATTAGCAGTAGCATCGTCTAGAATCTTCCGAACTCATTTTCAGGCACTGTGGGAAACTCCACATGGTCAACCCTTACGAGTCAGGATGAACTCGTGGTTTTTGTTTAAGATGCAGGTAACAGGACAGCATCCATGCTGGCTGCCCAGCGGCGGACTGTCTCCTCTCCCTGGTTCATACTTAGCCTTGCATCTCCTGCTGTACCTAGTCAGTGAGTCAGCAAGCCAGAGATTCAGTGAATCAGTGTCAGAGATTCATTGTCAGCAAGTCAGAGATTCAGTGAGTCAGCGACTCAGTAATTCAGAGAGTCAGAAAGTAAGTCAGGTTCAGTGTGTCAGTGAGTCAGAAAGTCAAACAGCCAGAGAATCAGCATGTCAGAGAGTGAACAAGTCAAATATTCGGAGATTTAGTGAGTCAGAGATTCAGTGAGCCAGCAAGTCAGACATTCAGAGTCAGCAAGTCATGGAGTCAGCGACTCGGAAAGTCGTGTATGAAGACGCGAAGGTCATCAGATGCCTACATGGAAATCAATTTGTAGTGTTTCATTATGGCAGCAAGCAG